AAAAGGTACTGTATCTTTCAATTGGAGAGCTTGGAGTGGGGGCGATGGACTCGAGGGATTTGAGCCCGAGAGTATTTTTGAAAGGTAGAATGTCATTGTTTGAAAAGAACCAAGGTTGGTAGACAACTGAGGTAATTACACCAGAGTTCATGGAATGGATGAGCATCATGTTGAGGCGTTTAAGATTGTATTGACTTAACATGTATATGTCAAGATAGTTAATATTTGCAATAGGTAGGGATGCTTGACGGGATGGTGTTTAGTTGGGCAACTTATATAGCAACCTGTATTCATGAGAAAATGACAACTAAGCAAAAAATAGGGAAGTTTACAACATTGCTCTATTCTAACTATGTGTATGCCGTAATTGTATTTACATTGAATCAAGCAATGTCAATAGCGGAGAAAAATATACTCTTGTCAGTGCCTCAATAATGTGATCAAAATTTATTGGCACTAACTACCAATTTAGGGGATGTAGTATATAAAATTGGAGAATCGAGTCGTACATTGGTATAAGAGGCAGTTCCAGAAGTTGCACTAGAATCAGCTCTGATTAGTTTGGTAGTGGAGGAGGAGAATGAAGTTTTAATTTTGTTAGATATCAATCAATTGGTGTTTCTACAAGGCTGACTATCAAAAGGCGTACATCTTAAGAATGCTTTATTGAAATATATTTTGTAAATACAATACATCATATGAGCATTGGATGCAAAAGGCAGTGTCAAACAAGAATTGGAGGTAAGCAAAAAGGTGATATCCATGCAAAACCAAAGAATTATAGAGAAAGAATAGATCATCCGAGTGATTGCAGAGTCCAAGATGACATTGAAACAAAGGTTTTTACAGAAATAAGAAGCTTGAACAAACGAAAAAGAATACATCATCAAGATTGTGGAAGGTCAAGAAAATGAATTGCTATAGCATCGCAAGACATGGAATTTGGAATAGAAGAAAGTCACGTGCTACTTGCAATGTAGAATGAAAAAAGGTAGAGTTCTTGGTACAAGAGAAAGCGATATTGAGTAACTAATACAGATGTGAAACGGAGTAGTTGAAGGCTCAAATTGAAGCATTGAATGTTGAGGTGACAAAATTGGTAAATGATTTAGTCAATATTGGTCAATCAAAAGTATTAATGATGCCAGTTTATGAAGTTTCAGAATGGATGATTGAGCATCAACACCAATTGAAATTGAGGGATGCCTAAATCTTGAAATTGGAGGCTCAAGTCCGTGAATTGGACAAGTACAATGAAGACCATTCAACCTAATTGAAGAAAGAGCCAATAGAAGGATTGGAAGAGGATGAAAGTTTATATTTGAAACCAAAATTGGTAGAACCAACAACAAATAATGTGGTAGTTGATCAATTGGGTGGGCCAGAGGGATAGTAATTTTATAGAATTTTGTTTAATTTTTTTTAGATATGTATCAATCATGTATTTACAAGGACGATACACAATTAGGAGTGGGCCTATGTAAAAAGGGTAGAAATTTGTTTTAATAAGATATTTATAAAATAGACTAATAATTCTTAGAATAGTTAATTCAATAGGGCTGGTGATTAAATTAGTTGTAAAAAATGGTTAAGTAAGGAATCATCGTTAGAATTTGGAATTTCACGAGTATAGCATAAATAAGTTGAAGAAGATATTATAAGGGCTAGACTGTGATAGTCATGAGCCAAGGTAAGCTTGGTCTTACTTCTTTGTTTATTTGTTATTGAAGAATAATAGACAATTTCTAAATACTGAGAAGTAAATCTATGGAATAAATTAGAGATTGATTTATGAGTTATTGAGCTTTTTATATAGAAGTAACAATTTTTTTTTTTTTTCTTTTTTTTTTTTTTTTGCTTTGCTCTCTTATATAAGTATAGATTCACCTTACTCACACTTAAATTTGGTCTAAGGTTTTTTATACTTTGATACCATGAAGGTACTTAGAGGTGATAAAAAAATACCATTGAATAGATGAAGAAGCTTACTCTTCACATCACTTAAGTACTTTGAGTACAATATTAAGTATTAAGTATGTTATACTAAATACATATATTATAATATATCATATAGAATCTATTAAATACATATATATTGAATATGTATAATACCATATATGAATTAGGTATATAGTGACTTTAATAGAAAGAGCTATGATTATACTAATAGTATCTAGCATTGTGTAGAAATTTAGATACTTTTTACAAATGAAATGAGACAATTGAAAAGATTACAAAACTGAGTTTTAAAAGGTATAGATGGTGTCAAAATAGGTAATGAATTTAAAGGAATAATAGATGGTGTCAAAATAGGTATTGTTGTTTTTAGTATGGTTATAAGTTATTAGATATTCATGTTTTAAAAAAACAATGCGGACTAGATGATGCAATGGATTGGAATGGAGTGCATGTTATATAAATTTGTAGAAGGAAAGTGATGAAGCTAATTAAATATCTTATATACATCAATATTTTGTAGTTTCTTTAAGGTAGTTAAAAAATCATAATTACATTAGTATTTGTGAGATTTTCCAAATATAAATTAGTAGTGACAACATTTTTATTTTGATATAATAATTAAAGATACTTAAAAGTTTGAATGATACTAAATATGAGGTTTCAAATAATCATACTAGTACATAATTTTAACAAGTAACTTCTAAGAATATTTACAAATTAAAGTATTAAAATGATAATAAATTATTTATAATTATTTCAAGTATTTTTCACATTTTTAGTACAATTTGAGTGAGATACTATCATAATTTTGAATAGATATATATTTTTCTTTTGGATCTTTTTTTAAAATAATTCATCAATAATAGAAATTTATATATATATATATATATACATCTTATATTTTTACCACAACCTTGAGCACCACAATTATATCTTTAATATATATTTATATATTTATTTATTTATTTATTTATGTGAGAATTTCTTTAATGTTATTAAAGAAATTTTGATAGATTTTAAAAGAAAAAAAAATGGCTCATTTGGACATATATTTTTTAAATGATTACATAAATACTAGATTAAGTCAATCTAAAACTAATTATTTTAGTTGAACTTGTCTTACTGATAACAATTTACATCCTTAAATTTTTCTTTTGAAATAAATTGTATTCTAATTTTCAACTACTAATACTTCAAATAACTAACTTATACACTTATTGTAACTTATTGAGGTAATGATTCAAATACTTTTAACCTCTACATTAGATGCTAATTAGAAGCAAGAACTATAACTACAAGCAAAAACAATATTCTCCTAAAGTAATCAAAATCCTATCTATAATTGCCTATTGCACCTGCCTTCTTCTATTAATATAAAACCAACCAAATCCAAAGTCTCCGGCTAAAGAAACACAAATAACTTTCATGAAAAGTAACAAACTAATTTCCAGCAATAAAAATAACACGTAGCCGCCACGCCAACATGAAATCATTCCAACCGAGACCTCGCAGTTAGGTCCACTGCATACCAAGGTACTCAGCATGACACGCATCTCACACAAGCTTGTCAAAGGCCACGACGAAACAAGTTGCTCACGGCACCCAGGCCCAGCTTAGCTTCCCTTCGACTGCGAAAGAAACAGCAAACCCCAGCTTCAAACCAGCACTTGGAGTCCTGGTTTCCATGCACAGCGTGCACAACATTGACGAAACCATCGCGCACGCAGGTGATGAATTGGTGGCAACGCGTGCGTCCATTCGGAACAAGTCACGTCACGTATTGCCAAATGAGAATGATCGCGATGACTGAACCCTGTATTGGTTTTGACTGAACCCTGTGTCGGATTTCACCTACTGGTGTTGGTTCGAGTGACATAGCTCTAAACAATCCCAATTTACTGGACACAGTTTGAGTCGTGCGTGCTGCCTACAAATGATCGGCTGTGTGTTGTTTACCTTCCGAAACACGGCACGTGGTGAAAACATGGAGGCCGGGGATGAACCTGCCACCTCCATCTATTTTCCTGTTACATTTCCATGAACAACATGAACTCTTCCAGACAATAACATTTTTACACGTGCTCTACCCACCTCATATGATGTTCCTAAGGTCCGCAAAGCGCCCGTGGCTACGCATTGTAACTCTCCGCGGGCACGGATGCACTCTTGCCGCCAGTTCCAGGAATTGCTCACACGCAATGGCGTGGCCTCCACCGAACCACCCAGCGCGCGCGGGCGACTTGTTGCCTGTTCTAACGAACTTCTCACAACTGGTGGTGCTGACCTCCATCCTGGTTTTCTGCTTCCTCTCATTTCGGGCCGTCCACGCCGTCCTCCACCTCGTCGTCGCTGCCGTCGCTGTCGTCGAAGGCCACGATGGCTGCCATGTTCCGGAACATCGCACGTGACGGGGCGGTTTCGCGGTCTGCCGCTACCCACGGGAACGCGACGACGTATCACTTATCAGGAACAGCACAGGCGCGACGAGAGAGGTCTCAAGGCATGGCATGGCTTGGTGCAGTTGTCGGTAGGGCGTCTGCATTTCACTCCTCCCATGTCATAAGGTGATAACTGCACTGGCGACGGTTTGGAGAGGCGGTGTGTTGCGTGGAAACCCTCTAGTGTCGGCGGGGGTGCCAGGTCAACGGGAGAAGCTCGTTTGGTGGTAGCGTTCTGCGTGGCGTACGTAGTTCCCTTCATGTGGGGTTCCACGGAGGCAGCTGTTGGACGGGAGTTCCAGAAGTCGGCGGGGGGGAGGTTGTGGGGGAGTTGGCGATTCTCACCCGTGTTTCCGCATCCATCCATCCAGCGTGCCTCCGAGGTTTTGCCTCATTCCCCAAGGATGCGTGTCACAAACCACAAAACAGTTCTCTGGTGTAAAAAGTTGGTGAATACTGAAACTGTCATTCTGTCGGACCAAGTTCCAACGCACCGAAGATAAGATGTGGTCTGTCCCAGTGACAGCTGCCGGCACTGGTGCAAGCAGCAGCTACGCATCGTGACGAAAGTACAAAACAGGTCTTTACTCGAAACGGGTGAGACGACTGTGCGCTCACACAGACATATTAGAATCAAGTGAACTTGAGAGTTTTTGATAGAAAGAATATATTACCTTTATTAAAAATTGAGTGTACACTGTTATTATTCTATTGACGGAGGTGCGACCGTTTAGGTCTCGCATATTTGACTAGTTGCGACGTTTCACTAAGTTGTTTGTTATGTTTGGTTAGTCACTGTTATTGTTTCCAATACGGCCGCTTAATCAAAGCATCACGAACGGGGGGTTTCTCCTCCAAGCAGGCCAAGCATGGGTAAATGCTGGGCAAGCTTCGGCCCAGTGAGGGACTTCGTGAAAATGTCCGCATGCATTTTTTCTGTTGGGCAGTAGGTAAAGTCGGCTTTGTGTTGAGCCACAAGTTGGCGTATGAAATGGTAGCGGATAGAAATGTGCTTTGTGCGGGAGTGAAAACGAGTGGTTGTGACCAATGCTAACGCTGATTGGTTGTCGCAGTATACACGGGTCGGCGTTTTTAGGGTGTCGGTGCAGTGAAGGTCGTGGAGGAGTTGCCGCAACCATACAAGTTCGGACGCGGCTGTGGCCATGGCGACATACTCAGCCTCGGTGCTGGATAGGGCTGTCGTCTTTTGGCGCGCGGAGCTCCAACTGATGGCGCTTGTTGACAGAAGAAAAACGTAGCCGGATGTCGAGCGGCGTTGATCCACTTCGCCTGCCCAGTCGGCATCGCTGAAGCCGTAGAGAGGGCGCGGCACAGTAGAAGTGCGGCCGTACTCCAGGTAGTGGTCGATAGTGCCGCGGAGGTACCGAAACACATGTTTACATGCACGTATATGGGCATCGCCCGGGTTGTGCATATATTGAGCAAGAACGCTGACCGTGAACGAGAGATCCGGGCGAGTGCACAAGCTGGCCCAGTTCAGCGACCCTACAGCATTCGCATAGGGGAAGGCAGCAATAAGGGCAGTTTCGGCAGAGGAGGACGGACAGTCGGCCGCTGAAAGATAAGTCCCAGGGGCCAGCGGGGTCGACACAGGTTTGGAGGCGAGGAAACCGAATTCTGCAAGCTTCTGTGTGATGTACAGAGCTTGTGTGATTCGGAACCATCCGTGATCAAGATTTCGAGTGACCTGTAAACTGAGCAGGTGATGTACTTCGCCGAGATCGGAGAGTAAGAAGCGAGAGTGGAGTTGTCGCTTGATCGAATGGAGCAAGGGGAGGGAGTTTGCCGCGATGAGAGTGTCATCGACGTAGAGGGTGTGGACCGCGAAGTCAGAGCAATTCTGTAACACATAGACATTCCCATCCGCAGCAGAATTTGTGAAGCCGAGGGTAAGTAAAAAGGTGTTTATGACCGTAAACCATTCTCGGGGAGACTGTTTCAACCCGTAGAGGGTCTTGAGTAAGCCGCAGACCATGCCGGGGCGGGGGGAAGTCACCCCCTGCGGCACGCGCATGTATATTTCCTCGGAGAGAACGCCATTTAAGAAGGCTGTGTTCACGTCCATCCGATGGACATGAAGGTTCAGCTGGGCGGCAAGGGCGAGAATCAGTCGTATTGACTGAATTCTCACCACCGGGGAGAACGTCTCGTGGTAGTCAACCCGGGAATTTGGTTAAAACCCCGGGCTACGAGACGGGCCTTGTAGCGGTCAATTTGGCCGTGGCTGTTTAATTTGAGCTTGAAAATCCACTTACAGGTGATGGGTTTTCGATGGGCAGGGAGAGTCGAAAATATCCACGTGCCGTTCATCGCGTGGGAGTTTAGTTCTTCAGCTATGGCAGATTTCCAATGGTGACTGTCGGAAGACGTCATGGCTTGCGTGTAGGTCGCTGGCTCCATGGGAACCGCGGCAAGGGTTAGAAGAGCGCGCTTCGGTCGAGAGGGTCGCGGAGGAGTCTTCCGCGGCCGAAGAGAACTTGGATCATAATTTTCGGAAGGGTCTCGCGGCGGGGGTACGCCTTTGTTGGTGCGAGAAGACTTGCGAACGGGTACAGGAGAGGTTCCATGCGGGGACTCAACGGGAGAGGCAGCAACATGGTCCGTGCTGGGAGCTTGTTTGTGGTGGCCTAAATGAGGCATGAGGGCCAAGCCGGTGGGAGACCGGACGTCATGCCGCGGGGACGGTCTAGCCGGGAGGAGTGGTGGTACCTCGGGCAACGAGGATTGTTCAAGTCGGGACTGAGCACGGGCGGAATCTGGAGCCAGGGGAAGCAAAATATGGAAATTGCTCAACCCCGGGCTGGGGCCATCAGCAGCAGATGGTTCCGGAGCAGCAGACGAGAGGTGATCATCAAGAGGATTCGTGACAGGTAGTGAAGGAGGACGTTGATGCTGGTCCGACGGCACCTGCGGAGCATCAGAAAGAGGGTGCTGGGGCTCACGCGTGGATACACGCGCAGGTGGAGTGGCAGGGAGCTGCGACCCGCTGGGAAGGAAGAAATGTGGGTCTTCCTGGAGTCTGGCATCGGGTGAGGGGCTGGCCTGAACAGGTTGGCGGGGAGGAGCAGGCTCCTCCTGAAAGATGACGTCCCTGGAGACGACGGTGGCGCCGGTGCGGAGGAGTTGAACCTTGTATCCCTTGCTGACCGGGCTATAGCCAAGGAATATGCAAGCCTCCGTTTTTCCATCAAGCTTGACACGGAGCGGATCAGGGATTTTGGCATAACATCGACTTCCAAATACACGAATGTGAGTGAGATCGGGCTTCTTCTTGTGCCACATCTCGAATGGAGTGGTGTGAGAAGGAATAGCCTTCGTGGGAAGTCGATTTTGTATATACGCAGCACAGGTGACTGCTTCTCCCCAATACGATCTAGAGAGCTGAGCTTCATGGAGCATGCACCTTGTGGTGTCGAGGAGAGTTCGATTCTTGCGTTCAGCCACACCATTTTGGCGTGGTGTATACGCTGTGGTGAGTTGACGTTGAATTCCATGTGCTTCCAGGTAGTGAGTGAATTCTGAAGATAAGTACTCTCCTCCTTGATCGGAGCGGAGAGTTCTGATTTTATAGCCGGTTTGATTCTCAGCCCATGTGTGAAAAAATTCGAATTCATGTAGACATTCGCTCTTTTTTCGTAATAGTCTTAGTACGGTATATCTGGAAAAGTCGTCGATGAATGTAACATAGTATTCGTAGCCGGAGAATGTTGGAGTAGAGATGCGGCCGCTTAAATCAGAGTGAATTAATTCGAGAGGTTGAGTGGCTCTTGTAGTCGCTTGTTTTGGAAACTTTTTGGCTGTATGTTTGCCATGGAGGCATGTCGGGCACACTTGGTTGGAGATCGTTTTGAGGTGGATTCCCGTGACAGCTGAGTTGGTGATTAAGTGCTTGAGGCGGTCAGTACTGGGATGACCAAGCCTTCGATGCCGCAAGAATTGTTGCGAGCTTGGAACTGAGGCGACAGCTTGAGTGGCTTCCGGCAACGGGGCTGTAGTGGGTCGTAGTGTCGTAATATGGGCGGAAAAGACAGCAGCAGCAAGAGGCAGCCGGTTCGGCCATGGAGTCCTTGCGAGTATGCTGTGCGAGGTGGAGAGGATCTGCTGTGCTTCGTGGTGACGAGTAGGATTCCGAGGCTCTGGTAGTGGTAGTTGAGAGGCATGGGAGTTGAGGGCGGAAGATAACTCCATGTCGATTGTCCACCAGGCAGAGTCGCTCGTAGTGGGGGAAGACGGCATTGGAGAGAGCTGTGGTGACCAGCATACGTGATCAGGACCGAAAGGGTCGTCAGTGAAGGTTGCGAGATAAAAACTCTGTGATCGGCACTTGGGGGCACGGAAACAGATGGTGATTCTCCTGACCAAGCGATGGTTTGTGCCACCACATTTTGGGCTGGGAATTTTGTTGATCCTAGTAGATAAAGATTATCTCGAAGAGGACAGGAGGCGAGTATTGTGTTGTCTCTTGCTAATAGATTACACATCTGATTTTTTATTAAGATGCCACCACCTTCGAGATCATAGTCACATACGGAGAATAGATTTTTGTGTAAGTCTGGTACATATAAGGTATTGGAGAGACGAAGTGTCTAGCCATTTGTCATTGAGATTTCTACTTCTCCTTGGCCATAGATGGGTAATGTTGTGCCATAGCCAAGGTATACTTTGTTGTCATCATGTAGAAATGGTTTGAAATTAATGAATTGTCGTTTATTATGTGCTAAGTGGTGGGTGGCACCCGTATCAATCAGCCATTGTGTGTCTTTGGTGGTTCCAGGCTTAGGTGATTTCACCGAGCAAAAAGCTTGTGTAATGTAAACATCGGCATAGAAAGCGGGAGGTAATTCCTCTACTTGTTCTTGCTTCCATGTTTGGTTATTTTTCTTGTTATCATGATTTGTTGTTGCTGAATTTGCAGCAACTCGTGTTTTGTGTTTAAAACACTCGGAACCCCAATGCCCCATTTTCTTGCAATGTGGGCAAGGAGTTGTAGGTTTGTTGTGCTGTTTTGAAAGCTTATGGTCTTTTGGATTGGATTTGTGAGGTTGCCATTTTGTCTTTCCTTTGCGTCCTACAAAGAGGGCATGTGAGTCAGAAGAAGAGCTTTTCATGGCTGTTTCTTCCCGCAAGAGGATTGAAATCAGTGTGGGGAGTGACACTTTTCCAGGTAAGGATTTCAGTTTGATTAGTTGATGGTGAAGTTGATGTTGCATTTACTTCTTGAACAGGTGTTGGTTGTGTTTCTTTTCCTGCAACTACATCCCATAGGTTCTCCATTTCAAACTTCATTTGAATCTTTTTCTTCCAGATGGAATACCACGAGCCATCAAACTTAGGCCACTTATCCGTGGTAATGATGCTTGCAGTCATGTTTGAAGACAAGAGAAGGATTCGTTAGTGCCCCAACTTTCTATGTAGAACGTCTTCTACAAAGCCTCCTTTTTCTGTCTCCAATGTTTTCTTAAATGTATATCATAAAACTTTTTCAAAGCTTCGCTCTGATACCATATGAGGCAAGTGAACTTGAGAGTTTTTGATAGAAAGAATATATTACCTTTATTAAAAATTGAGTGTACACTGTTATTATTCTATTGAGGGAGGTGCGACCGTTTAGATCTCGCATATCAAACTAGTTGCGACGTTTCACTTAGTTTGTTCGTTATGTTGAGTTACTCACTGTTATTGTTTCCAACAAGACACACATACACAGTAACATCTGTTTGCATGTTTATATTTAGTGCGCGTATGTGTGTCTGTGTCTGTGTGTGTGTGTGTCAATGAGGGGTAGAGAGAAGAAGTCTGCGAGCTCAAGGCTACACAAGCGCAAAGCTCGGCTCGCGAAAGTAGCCAGATCTATGTATGACTCACGGACGAGAAGGAAACTCAACGAGAAGCTGGAGAACATGATTCATGGATTTGAAATTGCCATAACTGGACAAGTGCCAACCCAGCTTGTGATCGCAAGTCGAGCATAAATGAGGACAGCCCAGATGATTACCTCACAACCAAAGCAGCGTGATTGCACGTTCATTACCTCCCAGGCTTCCGGTTTCGTGTGTTTGCATGTGGCAGATTGGACACCTAAGGATCTCAACACGACCTCCCATATCATCGATGCACTTCTTTAAGATTTCTTTATTATTTTATTTTGAGATTATTTTAGGACTTGTTTGTGTTTCATTTGTAACTTCTTTTAAATTTTTTTTGAATTGAATAAAGTTTTATTACGGTCATTAAAGATTACTTGAAGTTTATTTAAGATCCTATTAGACTTGGTAGGATTGTTGTTGCATTTCTACTTGCCTTCATTAGCTAGGTGCTTGGTGCATTCTTAAGCAAGCACATATGTAATACAAAAATGTATATATTTTATAACCATATAGTCACACTATCAAAGGTTCTAAAAATTATAAGTATAAATTGAAAAAAGCTCTCTATCGACTAAAGCAAGCTCTACAAGCTTGGTATTAAAAGATTGATAAGTATCTTTTAGAATATGATTTTGTTAAAAAAAAGACAGATAACAATCTATGCTTATTTGTAAATGACGACAAGATATTGATCTTAATATTATATATGGATGGTCTTCTATTTTCAAGCAACAACCAACCATAGATCAAATGGATTAAAAAAAAACTTGAAATCAAATATGATATTTTTGATATAGTAGAAAGAAATAGAATTCTATACATCAAATTAAATGTGTATATATTAAAGAATTGGATATCTTCTTTAATCAGCAAAAATATGTATTTGATATGCTTATTGAACTAGATATAAATAAATGTGAATTAAGCTTTATTTCAACAAAAAAGAAACTAATTCTACACAAAGACATGACAAATGGAGAATCTATAGATTTTATAAAATATAGAGGTATTGTTAGACAATTAAGACATGTCACTTAAATAAGACCCAACATCTCCTATTTAGTAGGTATAGTAAGTAGGTTCCTTCAACATCTACAAAAATCTCATCTAAAAGTAATAAAGAGGATTATTAAATATCTCAAAGGAATCTAAGACTATGGTATTTTTTTTTATAAAAAAATAGACATCAATAAACTAATCGAATTTATTGACTCAAACCATGCATCTTGTCTTAATCAAAGAAAGTCAATTATTGACTTTGTATTCATTTTTGGATATAGTCTAGTAACTTAGAAGTTGAAGAAGCAAAGTTGTGTGGTCATGTCCTTTATTGAAGCAA